GAGGCTCAACTGTATAAATAAGGGATGAATGAATTAGGCTGACCACAATAAAAGGCCACTCTAGAGTGTGCAGGTTGTGGCGTCAGAAAACCAGCCAGAATGTGGTGCGACCGTTTGCCTCACACAGCGCAACACATCTCCACAGAGTTGATCTGGTTGTTGATGGTGGCCTGTAGAACGTTGGTTCGCTCCACAATGGCTGTACAAAGTTCCTGGATCAGGATCTGGAACACAGTGACGTATACGTTCATCCAGAGCATCCCAAACATGCTCAATGGAGGACAGGTCCGGTGAGTACCTGGAACTAGGATGTTTTCAGCTTCCAGGAGTCGTGCACAGACCCTTGCTACGTGGAGCCATGCATCATCATGCTGCAACATGGGGTGATGGTCGGGGATGAACGACACAACAACGGACCTCAAGATTTCTTCAGGTGTCTTGTGCATTCAAGATGCCATCAATAAAATGCACCTTTTTGTTGTCCAGAACATACGCCAGCCCATACCATGACCCCACCTCCAACACGGACCTCTCAATTCACGACGGTGACGTCAGCAAACTGCTCACCCACACATCTGCCCTGCACAGAGAAAACCAGGATTCATCCGTGAAGAGAACTCCTCTCCAACGTCCCGTACGCCGTCGCATGGAGCGTTTGTCCAGTCAGGTACGATGAACTGCGGTCAGGTGGAGACCCCGATGAGGAGGACGAGCAGCAGATGAGCTTCCCGAGACGTTTCTGACAGTTTGTGCAGAAATTCTTTGGTTATGCAAACAGATGGTTGCAGCAGCTCCAGGTGGCTGGTCTCTGATGATCCTGGAGGTCCTGGTCTGCTGTGGTTACACGTGCTCTGTGGTTGTGAGGCCGGTTGGATGAAGTGCCACATTCTCTGAAAGGACTTTGGTGGAGACATGAACATTCAGTTCACGGACTTGAGTCAGCAGCCAACTGCACGCTCCATCAAACCTGCAGCACCTGTGGCCTCTTATTGTGGTCAGCCTAACGCTCACCTGTGCAATAATCCTGCTGTCTGATCAGCATCTTGATCTGCCTCACCTGTGGGGTGGAGGGATTATAACTAACATTACACACATCAGTGAACAATAAATACTTAAAAGGCTTTTTGAGTTCAGAGAAAGTCTCAGATCTTTGAGTTCAGCTCATGAAAAATGGAGCAAGAACTAAAATGTTTCTATTTTTGTTCTGTTTACATGAATGTTTGCTACTACCCATCAAATTTAAAGTCCTTATTTTGGGTTAATTTCATTTTAACAAACAATTATTAATGAATAATTCCTACTTTAAAAAAAAAAAAGCTTGCGTTAGCCTACCGCAGTTTTTACTGCTACTCGGAGAAATCCGCATCTGAATAAATGGACGGTACTAAAGTGATGAACATCTGATAAACCATTCCTGATATTGTGTTTAATAGTAAAGACTTAAGAAAAGTGTAAATAAACCCAGTAATCTGAGTGAACTAACCTGAACCATGTTGCCAACAGTCAAGTGGAACTGGGTCAAAGAGCGCCAAAAAAAAGAACAACAGCGCCACGTCACCATTAACTCCCTTAAAGCGGCCAGAAAGGGTATTGCACCTGGCATCGACGTTGAACAGCTTTGATTTCTATAATAAATATTTATTCTTACATTTTTTTAATATGTTATATGCTTAACAGATAAATACCCTAAACAACTGAACAAATCCCCATTATCAAGTTAAAATCTGTAGATGTGAGTAACTAAAAATTGCAACAATTCACACTATTATAGAATAAATTACTGTTTATTTTCCATTTACTGTTTTCTGAAGATAAGTTTAATTTCTAGGACCAAACGGAACAAATCAAGTGGCACTCCTGTTTTTCAGCTTCAGGTTATTTTATATGAATGCTGTTTTCCCGTTTTTTTATTATTATTTTATTCCAAAAATCATAATTCTTTATCATAGTTCTTTATTTGACACAGTTACTAATGGAAGATCAGCCACTTCACTTAATAACCAAACTTCTACAAATCAAATCCCTCCTACAAGTCAATCCTCAGTTAATCACAGCTTCTCTTTTTCTCCATTCTCAGTCAGTGAGGTCAATAAACTGTTAAAAGATCTTGATCCTAAAAAATCTGCAGGTCCAGATGAACTTCCACCTTATTTCTTAAGGCTGGATGCTCATATCATCACAGTCCCTGTGACCCACATCTTCAATCTCTCCATGAGACAAAACTCCATCCAGACACTTGAAAACAGCCTTTGTTCTTCCTTTGCTGAAGGGAGGTGACCCCACCTCACTGAACAACTATGGACCAATCTCTAAACTCTTCATTTTAGCCAAGGTTCTAGAAAAACTGATAAACTCTCAAATCAAAAATGACCTGGACTCATTTAACATCTTACCTCCACATCAATCTGGTTTCAGGAAACAACACAGCACAACCACTGCTTCACTGAAGGTTCTTAATGATGTTGTTGAAGCACTGGATGCTAAGGATTATTGTGCTGCTCTTTTCTTAGACCTGTCTAAAGATTCTGACACTGTGGATCAGAACATCTTGTGTCAGAAGATCTCAGAAACTGGTTTCTCAGAATGTGTTCAACATAATGGTACTTCCTCCAGTTATTTAACAGTCAACAATGGTGTACCACAAGGCTCAGTCTTAGGACCCACCCTCTTTACAATCTACATACATAATGTAGGTAAAAACATCCCTGATGCATCCATACATTTCTATGCTGATGACACAGTTGTTTATTGTCGAGCTAAAACTGTTGCTAAGGCTTTCCAGCTTTTGAAATCTGCATTCAACAACATCCAGACAGATTTGTTTCGCCTCAAACTTGTCCTAAATGCCGACAAAACCAAAGGGATGCTTTTTTCAAATAGGAAGTTGGTCCCAGCAGTTCTTCCTCTGATTTCATCCTCAAATGGTGTCCCCATTGAGTTTGTTGATTCCTATAAATATTTGAGTATCTTGGTCGACTCACATCTCTCTTTTAAGCTTCATGTGGAAAACTTGGTAAAGAAACTGAAAGTTAAACTGGGTTTCTTTTTCAGAAACAGATCCTGTCTAACTCTGAATGCTAGGAAACACCTTGTATCTGTGACTTTCATTCCCTCCATTGATTACGGTGACATTTACATGAACGCTCCTACAAGAACCCTGCAGATGTTGGATGCTGTCCATCATGGCGCACTAAGATTCATAACTGGCTGTAACTACCGTACTCACCACTGCACCCAGTATTCGAATACTGGGTGACCAGTATCACTGGTTAACTGGTCACCATTAACTTCACGCAGACTCTCAATGGTACATTTTCATCTTTAAATCACTTCTTGGTCTGCTGCCTTCATACATCTCCTCCTACATGTCTCTCTGTGTGAGTGCAGCTACAGCGTGCGCTCTCAGGACATTTCAATTAGAATTTTTGAATGAATGCCATTTCCTGCATTCTGGTGTATTTTAACGGGTTGTTAAACATTTACTTTATCAACATAAGCAAACACTTGATTCAGTAACTATTGTAGAGCTCGGCACAACAAGAAGTAGCGCTAAGCTACCAGATGCTACAGATGTATGCTCCACTTTACATCACACAACCTAATAAACACTTTGTACAAAATCAGTTTAGGTTTAACTGATTCTATGTTTGACATGAAACTGATGTAACCAGAAGTTGCAAAACAGAATTAACCTTTAATTTAACCATTAAGCAAGCAATCTAATGACAGAGAGGATCTACCTGCAGTTACCTTCGTACAGACGAACACGTGGTACTTCCTGTTTTTGTTGTAATCAGCTGATCATGAGGTCGACGCAGGAATTTATCTTCTTTAATGTTTTTCCAAACTCAGTTGTTTTTTTAATTCCTCCCTCTGAATTACGTTTCTCACTGATGGTTACACATCTTTTCCTCACGATTTTTCACGACATCCCTCAAGTGTTCATTATACAAAACCCTGACAATATTGGAGGGAAAGGGGGTGGAGCTCCTGCCGGTGAGGGGCGTTTACCTTTGGGACAAATTCAGGTCGCTGATTGGTCAGTTGCTGACAAGCCTGCTAGACTGATTGACAGGTGAGAAGATCAGACTTGTATTAAAAAAAAAAAAAAAGAAATTCATCATTTATTTCAATTTTATTAAAGTCTGATGAATCCAGGATTAGAGAACCTATCTTCCTACAAAAGATGGATTCTTAAGTTTTCTGGGGTGATGTTAAATTTTAGAAGCGCTTGAGTTGAGCACCCCCCAAAAACAGCCTAAGATCAATAACAACAAAGTCCATGCTCAATAATCCAGGTATACAATCCAACATTTTTCAGTCAGGTCATCTGGAAACGTTTCGCCTTCGATTCAGAAGGCTTCATCTTCACTAGTTCGAGCATTTTTACCCGTTCGTATTTCTAAATAAAAATACAAAGGTTTTAAAATGTGCAACAGCTGTTGCCTTCACATGTTCAACATCGTGCTTGGTTTGGTCCACGGCCTCACCAGCCTTTGGTTCGACACCAGTTAAGGCTTTGGACTGCTGGTTCCCACCCACTTTCAGCTCCCTTCATGGCACCATCTTAGCTTTTTACAGCATTTAGTTCCCCATTTTTTGACTAATTCAGCTACATTCAGTTTGAAGTTGTGAAATCTCAGCTTCACTTTGAATTCTAGCAGAAAACAGTTGTGTTCAGGTGAATCTCTGAAAATAGAAACGAGTCAGTTTAGTCAAAAGATGGTTTTGCTTTAAGAACATCCTGGTTTAAAAAGCCAGAAACTGTCCAAATTAAAGATTACTGAAGACAAACAGTTTAAATAAAACTTTTCCAAGTTAAAAAGAGCGGGCACATCCTACACCTCTCGTTTAACTTGAAGTTAAAACAGACGTTTTGTAAAAACTGAAGCTCATTTGAATCTGAAAGGTCAAAACTACAAGGAAAAATAAGCATTTAATTAAAAAACTGACATTTTTAACAAATGTGAATGTTTATTACTAATAAATGCCAGAGACGCTGGCCAAGAAGACTACAATGGAGAAATGAAATCAGTTTAAAAAACAAAAATCAAAAACAGACATTTTAAAACCAGCAGTACTTAAATACTCGAACAGAAACACCCAGTTAATGGTACATCCTACAGCTTCGGACCTCACCGGTAATTTCAAAATGTTTGCATTGATTCTGGCACAAAGCTCGCAGGGCTCGAACGTCAAAGAAAAATAAAACTCCTAATTCTGTTCAATCAACGGTTTGGATCTTCCACCCCTGAACCAGTAAGCTTCAAAACAAATGACTGAAAACTGCTTTTGTCCAAGAAAACTAAATTCCTTTACAGCGCCACGATTTCCAACCTGTAAAGCCAGCCGACATGTAAAATACAACCTTACAATACATTAGAATCAAAACAGGTACCAAAAAGTACAGTAAAAATTACACTTCCTGTGGAAATGTGGAGGGGGAGAGAAAACTGAAAGGTCAAAGAAATTTAAAAAAAAGAAAAACAAACGTGGAAAAGTTACATATCAGATGTTTTCTGTACAAATGGTCTTCTGTCATAAAAGAGGTCTGGTGAGGCCCAGTTCGAACGTTCAGCTGGCGGTCTCACCGGATCACTGGAGTCCTGAAAGGGGGACAAAAGACGGGTCAAGACCAGAGCAGAAGGTCCCCAAAAATAAAAACTAAACCTGAAGCAGAGAATAAGAAAAGCAGGAGCATTTATAAAGCAAAGTCCAAGCCCGTCTTACCCGGGGATCATCAGTAAGGCTTGTAGCTGGTCTGGTGTGCCCCCCGCCTCGGGGTTTTCCCGTAGCTGGCAGCCCCCTGGCCCGCTGAGACAAAACAGACGCTTTATTACAAAACCTTCTAAAGCACAGCGTCTCAAAATGCATTTTCAAACCCGACTTGTGAATTAGGCCAAAACAAAAAGGTGTTGCGCAACATTGAACGTGATCAATAAAACGACTCGAGGGCGAGCGATCGAGATGAAGACGATTTGAAACGCATCACAGAATTCACAGCAGCGGCTGAATCAAAGCGTCCGCCCAACATATTGATGCTCGTGGGGGTCACGGGTGCAGATCAAGTTCAAACACTTTCAGTCTGACCGTCTCCTTCTGGACCAGGGACCGAACCACAATCTGTTCTGGTTCCTTCCAAATGTCGGTTTCATCAGATTCTTCTCATTCAGACCAGACTTTTTACGTTAAGTCTCAACTTCAGATAGAAGCAAATCGTTGCAGCTCGTTTAGAAACGATGATCAACACAACTAATTATTTTAAACATCCAGACTTACTGTAGTCGTATCCAGAGCCGTATCCGTAGTAACCAGAGGAGTAGTCGTAGTTGCCGTAGCCGCCGTAGCCACCGTAGCCGTAGCCCTGGCCGCCGTAGCCTTGGCCGCCATAGCCCTGGCCACCGTAGCCCTGGTTCCAGTAGTTTCCGTAGCCCTGGTTCCAGCCCTGACTCTGAGCTGAGACACAGAACAGGACGGTGTTAAAGTGGACGACCTGAAGACACGTCGGCCGTTCACTCCAACAAACGTTTACGAGACCTCTTTAAATCCAAGCACCGGTACATTTCACCTGTTTGACACTCCCAAAGCCAAGTTCAGCCAAACTACCGGAACTACCGGACAATAAGCTGCTGCTTTTTTCAGGCCTTGAACGCTGCAGCTAATTTATTTATGGATTGTTTTCTTATTGTGACGAGCTTCAAGCAGCCAAAACGTTGAGGCTCGTCACACCCGAACGCTCACGTAGCTGCTCAATACACGTCTCTCTTGGGGGGTGGGCTCAACGGGACTACCGGTATAAATAAAGGTCAAATAAAAGATGACTAATGAAATTTAAGAACAGGTCACAGTGGACACAAGACCTGTTCTCCCTCCCCCATGTGTCCCCAGAGGAGGAAACGTCCCCGTTTCGAACGGCAGCTGCGACTTCCTGGTAGGAGACTTTTTTTTTAACCAGCCGTGTTACCGGCATTGTTCAGAAAAATTTATTTACTGTACGTACTTGTTTGTTACTGGTACAAAGTTAATCAAGTTTTTAAATAAAATCTTTCTGTGTAAATATAACATGTTCCAACGTGGACACCTGCAGCTTATACATGTACAAAATTATATATTCTTATGTAGTGGGCGTGGCTTATATTCAGGTGCGCTCTACAGTCAGGAAATTAAGGTAACTGCACACAAAGTTAAACACAGCAGCTCAACTTTCATAAAACCAACGCTAACCTCCACGGCCGCCTCGTCCTCCCCGGGCTCCTCCTCCGTATGCTCCTCCACGTCCTCCTCCTCCGTGCTGCTGCTGCAGCTGGTACACGTCCTTCGGCTGGGCGATCTTCAGCTCACACTGTGGAGACAACACTTTAGGCCCTGGCAGAAAAGCCTTTAGCTGAAGATCAGAAAGACGTTTAAACTCACCCTGCCTCCCTGGATGGTGTGATATTTCTTCTCCAAACACTTTTTCACGCTGGCTTCATCTTTATACGTGATGAAGATGAAACCCCTCCGTTTCTTTGACTTGGGATCGATGGGAAGCTCAATTGTTTCAATCTGGAAGAAGTTGAAGTTGATTAAAAAACACTTTCCCAACTGTTTTGTGTGGATGTTCTTCCAGTGGATTTGTAACGAACCTCCCCAAAGGCGACAAAATATTCCCTAATCGTTTCCTCTGTGGCTTCAGGATTCAAACCACCGACAAAGATCTTCAAGAGGGGCTCCTTCTTCATGGCCATCGCCTTCTTCGGGTCAATCTGACGTCCGTCCAGTCTGTGCTCCTTCTGCTCCAGCACCTGCAGACACACAAACATGGTTTAAGATCCCCGGAGCTATTCACCCGTACGATGCAACGGTCCGACGCAGCTCACCTTGTCCACGCTGGACGAGTCTTTGAAGAGCACAAAGCCGAAGCCCCGTGACCGCCCCGTGTTGGAGTCCATTTTGATGGTGCAGTCCGCCACCTCACCAAACTTACTGAAGTAATCCTTCAGGTCCTTTTTACTTGTTTCCCAGCTGAGGCCCCCGACAAACATTTTACTGCAAACAGAGGACACCGGAGACGTTCAAGTTCCTGTTGAGCCATAAAGACTTGGAGCCGCAGCAAACCAGCCAAAGGAGCTACATTCAGTTCAGCCACGTCAATCGGCGCTGGAAAAGATTGTTTTGGGTTCATGATACAATTTCTTACTGAGCTAAGCTGCGAGGTTTTTCTTTCAGTGTGTGACATACACATATACATTTTAGTTTTTGATACTGGAAAAGAACTTGCACGTGAACGTTCACCCGACACCGAACGTGCAAAAAGGCATTTGTGGGGGAAACGAGTCTAAAAAGGTATTTTCTATTTAACGAAGTTGTTTTGCAACAAGACGTAGTTGGGAGTTTTATCATTTTTATTAAACCGTCGAGACTTTATCAAAGCAGTGAGAATAAATTCATTCTGAACAAAAAACATAAAATTAAGAGTAATTCAAAGTAAAAATTTGAGTATTTTCCCCAAAAGCGTTGTCGTCGTGACGAGAGCTCAGCTTCGACGCGCACTCTTTTGTTTGTCGTTTTGCGCCTGCGCTGCACTCCCGCGCTACGGGGATGAACGCGATGCACTTTTGGAGTTGCGACCGTCGGCGAGTGGGGACTCCGCGACGGACATTTTGCCCCGTGTCCTTGGTTTACTTATGCGCCGTAAGAGGAAAACACAGAGACAGAAGCGAGCCGGTGTTTTGTGCAGGATCCGCCAGAGACACAGGACCCCCCCCCCCCCCCCAGGTCCTGCTTTCAGGTGTTCAGTCTGAGTGGACTCGATGTCCTGCGTGCACACATTTATTGTGAGCAGGACACGAGGAGCTGTTGTGTCTTTATGGAAGCATGGCTGAAGTCGTGCACCCCCAACTGTGCTGTGGCTCCGGACGACTTCTCCGTCTCTGCCGGCTCGACAGGACTGAGTCACATCTGTGACGCCTGATGTTTGTTGCTGCTGCACCACGTGGCTGTGTCATGCGTGTCGCTGCCATCGTGGTTCAGTTCATCTCAATGTTGCTCACTGGCCTGTCGCGCAACCTGCGTGGAACATGTATCGTGCATTTAAGCAGAGTTGCTGCCTGAGGTACTCGTTTGTACGGATTCATCCTACTTGCACCGCTGTATTCTACCACGTTGTTTACTACATTTCTTTTGGACCTTGTAGATGTTGTATTTCTTTTTCACTTCTTGGTGCTTTGTTTTGTACTTTTGTTTAATGCTTTCGAATTTCTTGTTTTTTTTTTGGCGAGTCGTGAGGCGTCTTCTCGTCTTGAGCATTTCATCACATTGTTGACCTTGTGTTGACCTGCATATGACAAATAAACAAACTAAGCTGCTGCCCAGTTAGACAAAGTCTTAAAAGATAATTTGAGAATAATATAATCATGCCACAAATAAAAAAAAAAAACTTTCATTTTGATTTACCCAGCATCCTCCTCTCTTTTGCTGGATTCAATCTTGCCTCCGTCTGCGTCTTGGCTGTCATCGCCTCCCATCAGCTCCTGCTGGGCTCCGTTCTGGTCCTCCTCTCCCTCGCCGTTTTGTTCCGACGTCTCCATGAACTGATTCTCAGCATCTGCCATTCTGACTGTGGACCGATGAGAGCCTGAGGAGCCAAACACAAATAAAACGTTCAAATAAAACAGAAAACAAGTAGAAACCTTGGCCCAGTTTGAATAGCTCGCATTAAAGAGCAGCATGGAACAAAGAAACCAAAGTTTAAATTCACTCTAATCAGCCGAATGTCGAGAAACAGCGTACATTTCTCATTGTTTGAAGTTACAAAAACTAATATTGTAAGTAATACAACAGAGATGAACATTGTAACAGGTTGAAATTGTTGCGTAAACTCAATAGATTTAAAACTTTTAATAAATGTTTTCAGCTTTTAAAAAGTCTTAACCAGGAATTGTTTTATATAAAAGGAGTGTCTCGTGGAAATTTCAATGAAAAATACATTTTAAGAACACAACTTTTGCTCAAATAATACTTTAAACAAATCTTAATTTGATATATGCATTTAAAACCCGTGCATCTTTAACATTTGACATGTGGATATTTAGTACACATGAAAATCCCTCCAAAACCACCATGAGTACATGTGCCTGATTTAAAATGGTGTTTTCATTTTAAAACAGAGCTGGGTACCTGGCAGACATCATGAAGTCCTCGTGTTGGATCACTGACTTCAAGAAACTAGAACTGAGGCGTTTTAAGCGATTTAAAGTTATTTACATGTCACTCGATAATAACGGTTTAATAACAGCAGTCTCCACACACCTTCTAAAGTTAGCAGCGACACAACACAGCTGTATGTTGGTCCCAGCTCGTAAAGCAGATGTTAGCAGGCACACAAAGGTGAGAACCGGCTGGTGTCCAGCATGTGAAGCGTTTTAAGCGGACCGCGCTTCGCTCAATTACCGCCCGGAACATCAGCAGGCCGCGATGCCCGCTGAAACAAACCCGTTAAAGCCAAGAGCAAGGCTGCAAGCCCCGTAACACGAGCTAAACAACGCTTAGATTATAAACCAATATAATTTACAACTGAGCTGCTCATTCGGCGCTTTTGACCATGTTCACCTTAGCTCTCATGCGGCTAACGGACAGCTGCTAACAGCTAGCTAGCTAAGATAAAAGCAGCGCGCGGATAAAAACAGTCGGCTGAAAACAAACACAAAGAAAATGGCGAGCGCCAAAAGACTAAACTTTCCCCCTATATTTTGAGACAATACATGCGAGAGAATAAAGTTCTTACTTTAAATGAATAAACAGGGACACAGAGCCGCTGCTCAAAATGGATTCTCTCCAAATTCACCGCTAACTCGTGGCAACATTTATACGACCGGATGTGACTGAGCTATGGACGGGAGGCCAAAGACGAGGTCTGTGATTGGACAAGATCGCCCCGCGCTAAATTCAAGAAGAGATATGATTGGCTGAGCGCGCAAACGCAGTAACAAAAAGAAGTCCGCGGACGGATGTCTTCCGGTCCTCTCTGGGTTTTTCACACCGGTGTTTTACATAAAATGGTAAGAATTTAAACAAAGCGCCACTTCTGAACCTTTCATGAAGACATTTAGATGAAAAATCTAAAGTACCTTTTTTATATATATAAATTCGTCTAATGAAAATAGATAAATAAATAAATAAATAAATAAATAAATAAATAAATAAATAAATAAATAAAAGGAAATTAATTCGTAGGTTTCCAGGTTTTCTGAAGGTATTTTTTGGGCATTGTCACCTTTTGATCCTTTTTGATATCCAACTTGAATAAGGCAGAAATTAGAAGCACTTGACAATGTGGAATATATATATATATATATATATATAATTTTTTTTTTCATATATAATATTCATTCATTCAACATTTATTTATACAGGTTAGACCCATTGAGCCTTGACGACTCATTTACAAGAGAGACCTGATTTCAACAAAGGATGATGACAACAATGGACAGTTATAAAAAGGCATACAAATTTTTTTATACAAATAAGATAGCAAAAAAGTAACAAAAACAGATAGATTGTAAGGCGATAGGCGAATGTAGAAAACTAAAAACAAAGTCTGCATTGATTTTTCCCAGGAACTGAAAAGATGTTTAAAGTCACATAGAGAGGTCACGGCCTTCAGATCTTTTTGCAAGAAGGTCCTTTTGTCTAGTTCAGTCCTCACTGAGGGAACACTGCAGGTAATAATGTCCTGAGAGCGCACGCTGTAGCTGCACTCACACAGAGACATGTAGGAGGAGATGTATGAAGGCAGCAGACCAAGAAGTGATTTAAAGATGAAAATGTACCAGTGGGAGAGTCTGTGTGAAGTTAATGGTGACCAGTTAACCAGTGAATACTGGGTGCAGTGGTGGGTACGGTAGTTACAGCCAGTTATGAATCTTAGTGCACCATGATAGACAGCGTCCAACATCTGCAGCATGCAACATCTGCAGGGTTCTTGTAGGAGCGTTCATGTAAATAATGTCACCGTAATCAATATCATCATAATCTATATTTTTTCATTTGTTAAGGAACTGAGATGTATGAATCATTGACAAATAATTTTCCGATGTATTATATTGTTCTGTTAGGACAAGCAAGCACCAAACAAACCTTTTTGCTCTAAATCTAAAAAAGTTAAATCTGGTCCTCTGGACGGGTTCAAAAACAAAAACTTGTAGAAACGTTTCGTCTTTCATCCGAAAGACTTCTTCAGTCTGAGGTGCTGTATTCAGCTCAGTCTTATAAATAGCACCTTCTCAGAGTGGATCAACCAGTTTGTTGTTGATATCCAGAACTAGTTGTTTACATCCCAACATTTTTCAGTCAGGACATCTGGACAGTTTATTTTTTTTTGTGTGTGCTGAAATGTTTCACCTTCAATCCAGAAGGCTTCATCAGTCAAGGAAACACAAAACAAAACTGATTCTTCCCCCAACAGCTTACTCCAAAGTGGAACAATCCAGTTCTGCTTGTGATAAGATGGTCTCTTTGGTACGTCCCTCCTCCATTGCCAGCCCTCTTCCTTGTTGACAGTCTTGTCAAACTGGTTGAAAACAACAAAGTCCATGCTCAATAATCCAGGTATGCAAGCCAACATTTTTCAGTCAGGTCATCTGGACAGTTTCTGTTGACAGTAGCTGCTCACATGCTCAAGAAGGACCATCAGCCTAACAATGGATCATTAGCACCTGATGGCTGTTTACTGTTCACAGAGGGCTGAGTGATACTAGCAATCACAGCATTGTAAGAGGGGGACAGTTGAACCTGGAGGCTCCACCCCTGTTTAATGATGGACGATTTCTTTTCACAAAGATGGCCTCCTTTACTCCTCTCTCAAACCATCGTTCCTCTCTGTCCAGGATGTGAACATCTTCATCCCTGAAAGAGTGACCGCTGGCCTGGAGATGAGTGTAGACCGCAGAGTCCTGGCCTGATGATGTTGATCTTCTGTGCTGGTCCATCCTTTTGGCCAGTGGCTGTTTAGTTTCCCCGATGTAAGACTGATCACCCTCCTGACACTGAACAACATACACAACATTACTCTGTTTGTGCCGGGGGACTGGATCTTTGGGATGAACCAGTCTTTAATGTATTTTGGGGTTTAAAAGCCACTGGGACGTTGTGTTTAGAAAATAAACGTCTCAGTTTCTCTGATACTCCCTCAACATCTGGAATGACCACTGGTCTGGGTCTGGGTTCCTCCTTTTCACCTGATGGCTGACTGGAGTCCTGTTTGGGTTTCTTCTCTGGTTTCAGGAAGGTCCAGTTAGGATATCCACATTGCAAGTCTTTGCCTCAGGTGGAGGAGTTCAAGTATCTGGGCAGCTGGAGTGGGAGATGAATCCGTCGGATCGTGGCCTCGTCCTCAGTAGTGAGGGCATTGCTTCGGTCAGTTGTGGTGAAGAGCAGAGTCAAAAGTCAAAGCTCTGGACATACTGGACCACCTACATTCCAACTCCCAACCGTGGTCATGAGGTTTGGATCGTGAATGAGGAGACAAGCGGCAGAGTTACGCTTGCTTTAGTGTCACTGGGCTCCGTCAGAGGGTGAGGAGGTCGTCGTTCTGGGGGACATCAGAAGAGCCACTGCTTCATATTTAAAGAGTTGAGGTGGTTCAGGCATCCGATTAGGATGTTGGGCACCTCCCACTGATGAAGAGGCCCTAGGGCAGAAACAGAACTTGTGGGAGGGATTGTAAATGTCCTGGTCCTCAAAGACATCATGGATACACTGCCAGCATCATCTCACGTTCCATGCTCTCAACGCCACCGTGGACTGACAGACAGCGAGAAGACCGGCGCTGTCTGAAGACACCTGAAGACTCAGACCAGCCACACCCTGGTTGGAGCAGGGTTTCACCCAGCATCAACGAGATTTATTCAAGTTTAACAAAAATATATACAAAACAACCCGAGTCGCCATGAGAGCTGACACATTTATTTCTTTTCATTGACAGTTCAATCTGACTTTATTCACACTTGCTTTAATCTCAGTTAAAAACACGTCATTAAAAGTTAAGTTTTGACTAAAAACATGCTCAAACAGCAATATTTTAAACTATTCATCCTATAAACTGCTCTGAACACAAGGCTCAGCCAATTCAGGTTCGGGTTTTGCTGACCCAGTGGTACTTGTCCACACGAGGCCCTGAGAAGGTGAACGTGGCCCGGTAGGATTTAACTCCCTTCTGGTTGGAGATCTGGGATGGTGGACCACCAGAAGACTGGAAAGGATCCCCAGGAAAGACCTTCCTCTTGTCTCTCAGCCAGGTCTGAGGGGCGCCCGAAGAGAACTCTGTGAACTGAGAAATCGGTTAAAGGTCAAGTTTGACGCCAAACAAAATACATTTCTACAACTCTTCAGTAAAGTTTTGAAAAACTGCCGACCCATTTACGATTAAGAACCAAACGCACTCGATAAACGCTGTTGGGGTTGCTGACAGTCGGGATGGTTTTGGGCTCCAGGTTGGTGGGGGGGATCGGAGCGGGGGAGGCGGCGGGAAAACTGCGGTTGGTGCTCCCCTCTACAGGCTCGTCGTCCTCGTCCGAAGAGCTTCCTGATTGGATGTCGAGGCTCGCCCGCTCCACGGCGTCATGGATGCGGCGGGAAAACTCTCCGTCTCGGCGGCAGCTGTCCAAAACAGAGACGCAGAACGGCGTGCTCTGCTCACCGTACCTCCAAAGAAGAAACTTAAATGGTTACATGCCCAACCAGTCGAGGCTGCTCATGGCACGACCGTTTAACTCGATACATCTGCGACCAAATGTCCACCGTTAACGTTCGTCGTCAGTTTGACATCACGTGGGTGGATCTTTGGTTCATCAACCAGCTGACCAAATGCAAAGATTTAAACCTGCAAACGTGCTCGTCAACAGAGCCCTGAAGTTTTTCTCCAGGTTCGTTGCTTCTTACAGAAAATCATCTACATTTAGTTTCGTTGGCTGAAACTTAATTGGGACGGCCTGAAGGCAGCCACCTCTCATTACCCCAAGGGTCTTACTCTTTTGTGAATACGGCCCGAACCACAATGTCTACCCCGACAAATGTTATCAAAACAACCGGCTCGGCACCGTGATGTGTGCCGTTACTTTTATTGGCGTTTCCAGTTACCATGGCGACGGAGCTTGCAAACAAAGATGTTTTCTCATTTAAAAGCACGAACTCTGACCAGCCACAGTGAGGTCACATGACTTGGCTGGAGAGGTCTCTGAACAAAACTGATGACCTTTTGGAGCCATTTTGGTTCAAGATGGCTGCCACAGCTTCCTCCGAAAACTCAAAATTGACTTTAACTCAGTCATTCTTTGAGAAATTGAGGTGAAATTTGGTGTGGTCGTAGCTGAGAGTTGTTTTACATTCCTGATGCAAATCAAAAATCCAATATGGCCACCTTAGCTAAACAGGGAATAAATATAACTATTTTAGAAGATGCTGAGCTGAAATTTGGTGTATTGGTAGCTGAGAGCAATGGCCAATAAATACTGAATTCAAATAAAAAAACTTTTAAGATGGCCACCTTAGCTACATTTAGCTTTAACTCAGTTAATTTTACACAAAGAGCTGAAGTTTGGTGAGGATATAGCCGAGAGCGTTCCCCATCACATACTGACTCCATATGAAAATCCAAGATGGCCACTATAACTTTAAAAAAAAAAAAAACTAATTCATTGATTTTTTTTTTCCGCCATTTTGAGCTGAAATCGGTGAGGTGGTCGCCGAGAGCGAACCCCAACACAAAATTAAAAATGGCCGCCTCGTGGCAGTCCCCATCAAAGTTCCTCCAGGAACTTTTCAGTCAGACTTGTAGATGTGTCCTGCAGCCCGGGGTCTGATGAAGGAAACCCACCTGCAGGACACCTCTCCAGGATCCACCCACACCGTGAACTCCCGAGGTAGGCCCAGATCCTCGTACTGGACCCCGCTCCGCTCGCAGGCCTGCTGCAGCAACGGGTCCTGCTGCTGGATCCAGTTCACACGGAGACACCTGAAACAGACCGGATTCAGCGTCGTCAGGGACTCACCAGGACCCCCACGAGGAGGCGCGGTCTACAGCACCCGTTTGTCTGGAAGCAAAAAGGTTTTAGCAGATCCTTTACTTCTTTATCATTTAAATTTTAATTTTCTGAAGGATTTAACCACCATAACATTTCTTAAAGTTTCATCAGTTCTTCTCGTTTCGTCCTCCGGTCGTCATTTAAAGCACCGGGTCGTCGATAAAACCCTCAGGTGAGACACTGGTTTTATAGACGAGTCTATTTTACAACCAACAACCTGCTAAGAACATTCAGACCGGAGCTGCAGGCCTTCATCATACTGGGTCCAAACCTTCAGTTCTGGTCCTCGACCCCACTGACCTGTAGGCCTGACCCTTCCACGGTGCGTTCGGGTGCCAGTGGTTCTTGTAGTTCTCGAACAGAACCGAGGTGAGGGCTGCAGCGAAACCCTCGCGCCTGTCTGAGTCCAAACAGCCGTACCTCTTGACCAGCCGGGCCAGGAAGAACACGGCTGCAGCGATTTCTTCTTTCATGTCTGCACGAGGTCTTCACCTTTAACCTGGAGCACAAACTGATCCCGCTCTGCTAAAAAACACAACTCTTTTTTTTTTAGATGATAAAAGTCACGTAGGATGACCCTACTCTTAAAGACATGGGAAATAAAAGGAAGAGGACAAACTGAAGCAAACACATCTGCTACGTGGAGTGCTTCGGACCGGGTTCTGCTGATTAAAGCTGTTCGTGCAGCTTGGTCCTTCACAGCTGAACCTGCTTCAGGTGATCACCTCAGGAGGAGCCGAACCCTCAGAAGGTCCGGTCTCTCTCTGACAGCTCCTCAAGGAAAACGTCTCAGCCTCAAATGTCACATTTTTAACGTTTGTTTTAAATCCTTTAAGGCCGTTAGTTATAACTTCACAATTCTATATTTAAAAAAAAAAAGAAAAAAATACTGATTTATGAACATTTAAAAAAAGTCCCCTTTTGTAAACAAATAAATTATTTTGACAACTGAAAACTAAAATCCAATTCTGAGTTTTGGTAAAGCCATCCAGCCCACCGGACCCTCCAGAACCAGAATCCACAAATGATGCCTTGTTTTCGGTCACACTTGAACTTGTTGGTCGTGACCGAGCATAAAGATTTAAATTATTATTTTTGACTCTGCCTGTGCACGTCAGGGTTTGTTGACTTCATCTGTCCTGAACCGGATGCTCACCGCGCCGCTGCAGTCCGGGCCGGCCTCCGCCACGTGTCGGGTGGAGCCCACAGGAGCCAGCCGCTGTCCGCCCCGCGGCGGACGGTTCTTCAGCCTGCATTCATCAACCGTTTGGTGCCACGTTCACTCAGGAACAACGCAGGTGTTTGAAAACGTTATCGATGGTGGGACGAAACAAGACGGGACTCTGCAGGACCGTCCAGCTGCGATGGACACAGCTCTTAAGGTCCAGGCCCTGGTCTGTGGTTTTCACATCGTGAGATGATGGGCTCATCCATCCATCTACATCGTGAGATGATGGGCTCATCCATCCATCTACATCGTGAGA